AATGAATGATAAATGAATGAATGATAAATGAATGATAAATGAATAGTTAGCCTGAATTATGCCTGAATGGTTAGAATGAATTAGTCGATAGACGCCTTTTAATTTGATCATAACGATTCGATCCCAAATTAGTATTTTACCTTGATGCAAAAGCAAACACAGGCAAGAAGACCCCAATACAATGACGTAGACTTCCATCCTCCTCTGTAGTAGGGTTATACCACAGGAGAATAAGACGAGACAGTAGCTTAGCACTCAGAACTCTTCCTGATAATAACAGCTTAGCAAGCCCCTCAGCTGCCCCGTTCCTCAGGTCGTTACTCTGTTGATACAAATCATTCATTATTATGTTTTATAAAATATTTGAGATATAACGTGCGCGCTGATTGGCTGGCTCAGGTCGTTACTCTGTGATATAAATCATTCAGTATTATGTTTTATAAAATATTTGAGATATAACGAGCGCGTTGATTGGCTGGCTCGTAAATCAAGAGAAACACTCAACTACTCCTTGTGTTCCTAAGCTTGCTTCTCTCTTGCTCTACAGCTCCCAGCAGGTTTATATTTCAGTACAGAGACATGTGCGCGCACGTTTTATATTCCTTAAAAATTAGTATTTTAGCTGAGATTATACGCACGCTCTGATCGGTCGCAACTGTGAAAAGCTTGGTGCCGCGTATACGTGCCTTCTCGCGACCGTGAAGTTTCTAGAACTTTGAATGGCTGATTTTTGGCTCGCGCAATGTGATTGGTTTGGCAGAGCCTTGAGTTTGATGTGACCATGTCCGCATCGTGTTTATGCTATACGCTTTTCACGGGTATTTGATTGGATGGAGAGTAAATTCTCGTACAATGTGATTGGTCTGATGCCTTGCCGTGTCACGACTTCGTTTGTGCTGCGAACGTTTTACAGTATTAAAAAAACTTATCTAAACTGAAAACGGTGCTTATGCCATCAGTGCGCTCAGCCTGCTTTGTAAGTAGCATTCAATTTATCATTCAAGTTATTTTTTCCGTCGTTTCGATGGGCCGAGGTAACTGCAAATGACTTCCTACAAATAATTATCTGCTTGTGCGCAATTACGTTGCATCTGTCAACATGGCTTGCTTCCTTGTGACTTGGTATGTTTGATAGATAGCAAAAATGACCAAAGCACAACAAGAAAACGTAAAAAAAATTTGAATAAAAAAAAATTATTAAACTTGGTTATCACAAAATATTATGATTTACCATTTTCACGCTAGCCATCTTGTAGTATAAATTGTATTGGATTGTGTTACGGTGACCAAAAAGTTCGGAGATTGGTCTCGGATTCCCGTACAAATGTACTGGCTTTTGAACAAATTATTTACCTTGTTTGTTCATCTTTTTCTCTATAGAGCAGTTAGAAAAGCTTCAACAAAGTTAGAAAAATATTTTGCTTGTATTTAGGGAGCTTACTAAACAAATCAAGTAAATACTTTGTTTAAAAGTCAGTACATTCGTACCGAAATCTGAGAACCATTTTCGAACCTTTTAGTGACCGTCACACTTTCCAATACAATTTGTACCACGTGATGGCATAGCGCGAAAATGCTGAATTATTTGCCTGTCTTCGGTAGCATCATTAAAATAAATGATTTCCTGAATACCTCGCTCTCAAGCAGTCCAGTCAGGATAGTCAACACACTAGTTGCTGTGTTGTCTGGCGTACTATTTTCCACGTCACCATCTTCCTTTTGTTCGCCGCCTTCTTGTTCTTGTTCTTCGTTGTTCTTATCTTCTTTCTCGCTGATCAACTTCTCTTCTTCCAGGAAGTCTTTGTTGGGGTTCAGTTTGAACGCCTCTAAACCAAACTTCAGGAGCAAATCGAAAACTACTTGAAGGGCTGTGACTTGAACCATTTCTAAGTCAAGCTGAGCAACCTGGAAAAAAATGCAACAACGACAACACCTTTATTATTTTGCACTATTAAATTCAAATTCAAAAAGTAATGGTTTTGAAAAACATTTTAAAAGGAAATTTGTTATATATTTATCATAATATTTAAACAGAGCGCCCATGTCCCCAAGGAGTTTTTCAATGGCGTCCTATTAGTCTAAATAATTAAACGGTGAAAAAAATTCCACATCTACGCTCGGGTTTGATTCCTGGACTCAGCATTACATGTGAGCAGCGTTCGTTAGGTTCTCCCTTGATTCAAGGGTTTTTCTCCTGGGTCTAAATTGTGTTTGATTCTTGTACTCCGCATCACATGTGAGTAGAGCTTGTTAGGTCTCTCCCTTGACCCAAGGGTTTACGATCTGCGAGATATAGCCGGCACTCCCTCCGCAAGACCCACAACTCCATGAAAATCTCGAGTGAATATGCAATCAATGCATGATATCCTCAAACATGGAGAGCAGACTTGAAATTCAAGTCCACTACCGCGGCCAAATTAGTCAGTCATACCTTGTTTTGTTACTGGTCAAAATGACCTGCAAGGCGCATGCGCGAAGTGCTGCTAGATCCTGCGATCATCTTTCTTTTTGCGTAAATAAATGCAATACCGAAATAAAATTAGTAACTATACAATAAAACGAATAAAATTTGTTAAATAATATGTCATTTACCCGTAGCCTACCTGTAGAAACAACACCAGATGTTTCCTGGCAAACTCACAGCTCAGTAGGGCACACAGGCCAAGACTCTTGATGGCTGCGTTACGTACTTTTGGATCTTCATTTTGAACTCCTGGGATAATCTACCGATACAAAAAATACATATCAAGTGAATGATACTGCAAAGTTTGTCATGGGGGAGGGGGGGATGGGTGGGCAGGAGGAATCCCTATAAACATTATCGTAAGATCTTTACCCCCTTTTCTTCTGTCTGCATAAAAAAGTGACCCTCCCCTTGAAATGTGTTAAATTCTTGACCCTCCCCTTTAATGAAGTATGAAATATTTGATGACCCCCCTTTATGACTGAGTAGAAATTTGATGGCCCTCCCCTGGATTCCTCCAGTCCATCCCCCAACCCCCCTCCTAAAAAATGAATGCTGCCTTAGAAAGAAGGCCTTGTGAATACAAGTGAAGTGAGTCCTGGGAAAAAATCAAAATTGTGAAAATGCATTTACGATCCTATTTTGCCTAAAAATGCATATCAAGCTTTACTCTATGGCCCCGTCCAAACGTATCCGGAAATGTTTGTATTCGCAATGTTTTTTTTTGCGGACACGGGTTGCGTCCACACGTGTCCGCTATTTTTTGTGTCCGTATCCGGAAATTTTACGAAAACGGATACGTGTGGACGGTGAAAACGATTCGAATACGCTGCGTGTGGACGCAAACGATAATTTGCGGATACAAAAATTTCCGGATACGTGTGGACGGGGCCTTAGTGTCGTAGTTGGAGTAGAGAAAGCTCACTCCATATATAGTATGATCAATTCCATATTTGGATTGTGCGGAAAAGCGGCAAACAAAAAGGCCGTCGTTTTATAACGAATTCGACATGAACATTTTTGAAGAAGAAAATAATAATAAAAAAAAAGACAAGTTAAAAAAGAAAAACTTTGGAAAATCGAGGAAGGATACGGGGACGATGCTAACTCGTGGGTCTGCCTCGCAGACAACAGACACAGGGAAATACGACACTCGATGTTTGATATGGCATAATTTCTGCGTAAGCGAGATGCTTGTTTCTAGAGGTGGTACCCACTTTTCTCAGAAAAACATTACGCCCGAACAGAATGATAGATCAAATAATTTTCAAAGTCATAGCACAACTTACGAGTGTCTCTATGAGAGTCATCAGGGTTGGGTTGAGTCCATTCCTTGTCGTTATTTGTAGCATTTGACAGGCAATAGTCAGGCATTTAAGAAGAGTTACAGGGTCATCCTAAAGGAAATAATTTATGCAGAACATCAATACAAGTACGATTATCTCTAGTCTTGTTTACTAAATATCTTCGAGTGGCAGTGACAATATCGCTGATGCTGATGGGAGTTGATGCTGGTGATAGGGATGATAATAGCATTGTCGTTGTTAATGATCATGATGAATGTGCTATAGAGGTACTACTCATCATCAGTCATCACCATCATCAGTCATCATGATCACCATCACCACTTCCATCACCACCACCATCACCACCACCACCACCATCATCACCATCACCATGGTTTCCCTCGTAGCATGAGATTGGCCTTGGAGGGGAAGGGGGGAGAGGTGCGGGTGTGTAGTATGAAACGTAATAAAGTAATAAACGCTTGAAGTCTCTACCATCTCTCTAACATCATCACTATCATCACAATCATGATGGTATCCCTCATGCATTGAGATTGGCCTTGGGGAGAATTTTCCTTGAAAATCGCTTTTTCAAAAAGCATGAAGTCTCTACTACATTCATTATTGTCCTTCTAGCCTGTTGCCTGTCAACCCCCGGTACCTCCTCCACTCTTCTCCAGTTCTTTAATGTTGTGCTTATATCAAAGCAGGTGACAGTGACCTCAGTAGCGATGAAAATTATGTTAAAAATCATGACCACTAACCTTTTCTTCTCTAACGGCCATGGATACAGAAGCACTGCTTTCATTGATGGCATTTCTACTTTCTTCTATCTCAGTGATCTGCTGCTTGAGCTCTGCTGCCTTGGAGAAGTCTTGGTTGTTCACGCAGTTCTCAAGTTCATCATTTAGTTCCATGAGCTTTACCTTAATGGTTGCAAGCTGTTTGAAGACAATAATGATATAACAATCTGTATATCCTGAATTGCTTCTTTATGCCTGAGTTAGCCGTGCCCTGATCACTTTAATCAGCCCAGAGGTTGTTTCAGGGTTTCGTCTGTGAGTTAGCCATGCCCTGACTTAGATCAGCC